GTAGCTGCCATGATCGCCGTGGCATTTAGGGTGGCCGTCGTGGTGTGGTAGGCTTGATGTTTGCCGACTACGTAAAACCTCGTGGGTACCTACGACGCTGTAGTGGGTGCCTCTGAAGGTGAGGCCTTGCTTCAGAATGAGGCAGAACCGCAATCGGCCATGGATGGGACACGGTCCGTAAGGTCGGTCAGTACTTGAACTAGGTTGTGTGGGGAACCGTTGTGGCTGTCGTAGTGGCCGCCGTGGATTGCTTGCTCGTGAGAGTCGTTCTCGTGGCCGTCGCGGCTGTCGTGGTGGTTGTTGTGGCGTGGTTGCTCGAAGGAGTCGCTTGAGTGTCTGCCGTGGCTGTCATGGTGGCTGTCGTGGTGCGCTTAATTGTGATACCCGAGTTAGTGTCGTTGTTGTTGTTGGTGTTGATGATGGTGTTGCTGTTGTTGCTGTTGTTGTTGTTGTTGTTGTTGTTGTTGTTGCTGTTGTTGTTGTTGTTATTGTTGTTGTTGTGGCTGACGTCGTGGCCGTCGTGGCGCGTTTGCACTTGAGTGTCGCTGTCGCGGCTGTCGTGATGGCTGCTGTGGCGTGGTTGCCCGTGTGAGTCGCTGTAGTGTCTGTCGTGGTTGTTGTGGTGTCCGTCGTGGTGCGCTTGCTTGTGAGAGTCGATGTCGTGGCCGTAGTGGCTGTCGTGAAGGCCGCCGTGCTCGTGAGGGTTGCTGTTGCGTCTGTCGTGGTGGCTGTTGTGACGTGGTTGCTCGTAGTCGTTGCTGTCGTGGTGCCTGTCGCGGTGCGCTTGCGTTTGAGGGTCGACGTCGTGGCTGTAGTGGTTGTCGTAAAGGTGGTCAGACCCGTGAAGGCCGCTGTGTCGTAGTTGTCGTGGTGCCCGCCGTAGTGCTTTTGCTTGTCGTGACTGCCTGAGTTGTTGTCGTAGCTGTCGTCGTGGCCGTCGTGGCGCACTTGCACGTGAGTGTCGCTGTCCTGGCTAGCGTGAAGGCCACCGTGGCGTCTTTGCTCGTGCAAGTCGCTGTCGTGGTTGTCGTGGCTGTTGCGAAGGCCGCCTTGGTCTGCATGCACGTAAAGTGAGCTGTCGTGGTTGTCGTGGTTGTCGTTGTGGCTGCCGTGGTGCGGTTTCTCGTCGTGAGGTTCAGGAGGGCCGCCATGGTGCGCTTGCTTGTCGTTGTGGCCGCCGTGGTGTGCTTGCTCGTGAGAGTCGCTGTCGTCGCTGCCGTGGCGGTCGTGGCGGTCGTTCTGCCGTCGGTTGTGGAGCTTGTCGTCGAGTTGCTGGAGTAGGGCGTCTTGGTCGTTGAGGCATTGCTGGCGTCGGTCCTAGTGCTCGTCGTGAGCGTAGGGACGGGCGTCGGGAATGGCGGCAGGAGGGGCGTCGTGAGGGGACCCAGGTAAGACAACAGGAAGGGCGGTGGAAGGGGCGTCGGGGAGGGAGAAGAGGCGGTCGTTTGGTAGGTCGTTGTTGTCGTTATCGTCGGCACGGTGGATGTCGCAGGATGGTCTTTGTGGTGGGCGTTCGTTGCTTGCTTCGGGACGATCGACATGGGTACGGAAATATTGGGTGCACTGCCCAACAGCAGTTCCTGTTCGTTGTGAACAGGGCTCGCTGTCCGCACCGCCGCGGACGCTGTTCTTTGAAGACAGGAAGCCGCCTGCGCAACAGCGGCCGCCGTCGGTGTTCGACAACACTGGTTGTTCGGCATTGCACCCATTCTTCCGTCGCCACTTCGGGCGTCCGAGTTGTTGTTCCCAGATGGTCTGGTACCGGAAATTTTCGGTTGCGATTTCGACGCACCCCGAATTTCGGTAGCGACCGGATCTTCGTTTGAGGGCGTTGAAGTAGCGGATTTCAGAACGCTCTGATACCAGTACTGGGCGCTACATTTCGGTATTTCGGTAGCGACCGATCTCTGCGGAGCGCTACCAGAAATTTTCGGTAGCGGACGATCGGGGTTGGTGTCGTCGTTGCTGCTTTCCTGGGCTCCTGGAAGATCAGCGGAGTACCGCGGTGACGGTGCCACAGTCGTCGCTGACGGTGACAGCGGAGTGCGTGGTTTTAAAGGGGCCGCAGCTCGACCTCGCGGAGGAGGAGGAGGGGGAGGAGGGGGAGGAGGGGGAGGAGGAGGAGGGGGAGGAGGAGGAGGGGGAGGAGGAGGAGGGGAGGGAGGAGGGGGGGGAGGAGGAGGAGGAGGAGGAGGAGGAGGAGGAGGAGGAGGAGGAGGAGGAGGAGGAGGAGGAGGAGGAGGAGGAGCAGAAGGAGGAGGAGGAGGAGGAGGAGGAGGAGGTCCAGCGGAGTGCGGGGCTAAAGGGACCACAGCTAGACCTCGCCTCCCTGGGCCGGGCGGGGGGCTAACTGGTCACCCAATGCACAACCGTCAGCGCCTGCGTGAGTTCGTGGCCATTGCTATGGCAACATGCTGCAGATGTGTTGTCGCTGGGTACTGGATGGTGGCGGCGTTAGAGAAGTCTCTGTACTATGCCAGTGCCCCGTCCCCCACACGCAGAAAACTTGTGCGGAGGAGACTGGCGTGATTCTCATTGAGGTCATGGGTCATACATATTACCATTGAACACTATATAGCATGCGCACGGACTCTGATTGGACAAGTAGGTTGGAGGTGGACTTGCCAACCGATGTCCCCTCCTCCTTGCGACACCCTCCCTCAGGCGCTGTTATCCTCCCCCGCACCTCCGTAAGTATCCTTTTTAGTGGCACACACACACACACACTGTTCTGTTGAGTGCTTTACACAATCCCAAGATCTGACCTTGCGGAGCGCTCAATCTTCTGGTCCAATATGTAGCTCAGTTCTCCGTTAAGTTAGAACGCGCACGAACTAACAGCGTTGTCGGAAGGTGCCCCAAAGAAATCCAGTATTCCCCCAGTGGCCGGCCCCCATGGGATTCCAGTCGAAGCCCGTGGCACCTTGCAGAGCTTCCTGTCGATTGTAGCGAATTGGCTCGAGCTGGCAGTCGGCGGCCAGTTTGTCTGGGGGGCGCGCTGCGGCCGTTCGCCGCTGCACGCCCCCAGCCGCGCGCGGGCCCACGCCTGCCTGTGAGGCGACCCTCTCCACCATCGCCCGTCGGGGCCCTCCGGGTTCCCCTGAGATCCTGGCGATTCAGCGTTTTCGAACCAGACGCTTTCGCCCAGTTTCGAGCCCCGGGACCCTCACATATCGATCTGGCTCGAGACATGGCGCCGGGAGAGTGGGTCCGCCGGACGGGGCTAGGACGAGGATAAATCCGTTCCAGAAGTTTCCATACCGCTCTCAGAGCGTTCGGAAACGCTCTGGGAAGGCCGCGGCGCCCGAGGCGCCCTCCAGAGCCGCGGGATCTCAGAGATTCTCGGTTTGCCCTTATCAAATTTTATCCTCGTCATGGCTTCCTCTTAGTCTTGGGCTCCAGTCGTGACTTAAGACGACGTCGCATTTTTTCCGAGACGTCGGATCTCAGGGTCCACGCAGGGGGGGCCAACGGCCAGGCACGCATCCCCGCAGACATGGCCCGCGAAAGCTGCGCGGGGTTGCCCTGGCGGCCCCCTGCGCCGCTGGTGTCGCCGTCCGGTGCCGGCTCCCCGACAGGCGCGGGCGTTCCGCACAGCCCCACGCTGGCAGGTGATCGGCTAGACGTACCTTGAGATCCTGGCGACTCAATTTTTTCGAGCCGGACGTGTTCGCCCAGTTTCGGGCCCCGGGACCCTCACAGATGGATCCGGCTCGAGACATGGCTCACGGAAGATGGGGTCCGGGTCTCCCGTCATGATTTCTCGCGGTGTCTGAGTTTTTCGAGACGTCGGATCTCAGGGTAAGAGTGACCTTTCGCTGGAGTGACCCTTTGTTGCGGGCCCCATGGGGTCCACCGATCGCTGAACGCGAAGCGCTAGCAGCGGCTTGCGCGCCCAGGGTTGGCCACCCCGCGTCTCCCGTTTTTAGCCGCGCGCCGAAGGTCACTTTTGCCCAGGGTCACGCTTGCGTGTAGCCGAGGTGATACGGGTGCCGACCTGGTCGTGGTCCTGCGCGCGCCCGCGGCGACGCCGGCGGTTGGCGGCCCAGCCCCGACGACCCTCACCTGCGAGAGCCTAAGCGGCACCACACTGGCCGTGCTCGAGGTCGACGCGGACTCGGAGCGCGTGGCGGGGCTGCAGGGGAGGCTGGAGGAGCGCCTGTCGGCCATGCTCGCCAAGTCGGGCGAGTGGAGTCAGCGGATACGGCTGACGCTCCCCGACGGCAGCACGCTGCTGGAGGCCTCCGACCTGGAGCAGAGCGTGCGGGAGCTGCTGACCGGGGCCCGCTGGAGAGAGGCCGAGGCTGCACGGGTCGACTACACGCAAGAGTGACCCTTCGCCGGAGTGACCTCTGGTGCGGGCTCATTGGGGTCCCCCCGATCGCTGAGCGCTATGCGATAGTGGCTATTTGCGTGCTTGGATGTGGCCACCTTGCGCCCCCTTAGTCCGCGCACTAAAGGTCACTCTTGCCTAGGGTCACTCTTGCGTGCAGCCGAACGGGAGGCCCGCGGGCTGCCGGAGGTGGCGCAGACCCCCTCGGCCGCCAGCCGGCACCGCTCCAGCAGCAGGCGCTCGACGGGGGCGGCGCAGCTCGAGCGGAAGCTGGGGAGGCTCCAGGAGGCGAAGCACCTGCCGCTGAACGGGGCGCACTCCCGCCGCTCGCCCTCCCGAGGAGCACAGAAGAGCATCAGCACAAACTTGTGGAGGTCCGCGTCGACTTCTCGGATCGGCGCTGCGAAGAGCGCGCCGGGGGCGGCGCCAGAGAGGCGCCGCCGGGGGGCTCCAGCGCCGATCCAAGAAACCCGCGCGGACCTCCGAAAGTGTACGTTTATGCAGTTTGTTGTTCCTCGTCTCTCTGGCGCGGCGGACATCGCAGATCTCGTGCAGGACTCCGCCGCTGAGGAGGCCGCAAGCGGCCCCCGTGCCGTCGAGGAGATGCCTGCTGTCGAGGCTGGTGCCTCGTCCTCTCGGCCGCCGCCGGGGGCCTGTGACCGGGTGCTCATGGCGTCGTCGCTGGACGACGAGCACCCGCCAGACAACGTGACGGATGGAAGCGACGCCACGTATTGGACCTCGAAGATGGACAAGCAGCCCAAGCACAAACTTTCGGAGGGCCGCGCGGATCTCTTGGAGTGGCGCTGCCCACCCCTCTCCGGCGCCGCCCCTTCCGCGCGTCAGGCCAGCGTCAGTTCGAGGAGTCCGCTCGGAGCTCCGCAGCTTCGCTCGCATGCCGCTTCTGGCTCCTCCAGGATCTCCACGGGGCTGTACCCGCAGATGATCCTGCTGGAGCTCTGCCAGCCGACCCGGATCTCCACCGTCCGGCTTTCGGCCACGGACGTGCGCGGCGTGCACGTCGAGGGCTGCAGCGGGCCAGGGGCAACCTCCTTCGAGACGCTGGGCTCCGCGGAGCTGGACCTGGCCCAGGGGGACTGCAGGCTGCAGGTGAAGGAGCTCAGGCTCAGGGGCAACGCGGATGAGAACATGCTTTTCGACCCTCTGGGCCATGACGCGCGTTGTGCCCCCTCCCCTCCCCCCCACCCCCCTCCCTCCCCATAATGTAACGCTCCCCCCCCCCCTCAGTGCGTCCCCGGCACTGCCGCAGTGCGTCCAGCACCACAATCTGGGTGGGGGGGTGGGCGTGAACGATTGTTATCGCCGCGAATTAAAGTATCCCGGTCCGACCCTACCTAGGAGTTGGAGCATTAGGAAAGCAACATCTACATCTACACCGACAGCTACATTTACATCTACACCTGCATCTACATCTACATCAACATCAACAGCGAGACTCACATCTACATCACATCTACATCTACACCTACATCCACATCTACACCTACACCTACATCTACATCTCCATGCTGCGTTATGCTGCGCTATGATATGCTATGCTATGCTAGGGTACGCTCGGCTGCGCTGTGTTATGCTAGGTTATGCTATGCTATGCTGCGCTAGGCGATGCTGCGCTATGCTATGTTACGCTATGCTATGCTATGTTGCGCTATGCTATGCTAGGCTATGCTATGCTGCGCCATGTTATGCTATGCTGTGATATGCTATGTTATGCCGCGCGATGCTGTGCGCTGCTATGCTATGCTCTGCTGCGCTGTGTTATGCTCAGTAATGCTATGCTATGCTATGCTATTATGTGATCTGCTGCGCTATGCTATGCTGAGCTATGCTATGCTATGCTTGGCTATGCTTGCTTATGCTATGCTGTGCTATGCTGTGCTAATGCTGTGCTGCGCTATGCTGCGCAAAACGAAGCTAAGCTAAGGTAATCTATGCTAAGCTAAGCTGAGCTCAGCTAGGCTAGGCTAAGCTAGGCTAAGCTAAGCTAAGCTAAGCCAAACCAAGCCAAGCCAAGCTAAGCTAAGCTAGCTAAGCTAAGTTAAGCTAAGATGATATAAACTAAGCTAGGCTAGGCAAAGCTAAGCTAAGATGAGATAAGCTAAGCTAAACTTAGCTTAGCTTAGCTTAGCTCAACTTAGCTAAGCTGGGTGAGCCTCGGGGGCGCAACTGGGGGAACCGCGGGGCGGATCCTGGGGGAACCGCCCGGGGCGGGGACCACTGCCCGGCCCCTTAAGCTTACAGGGTAAGAACCCTTCTAGGCAGAGCCTAGGTAGGGAAAAACTGTGATCTTCGAAAAGAATGGGCTCAGGGATTGATGCTTCGACCCCCATTCTCCCATGGATTGCTGATAGAGGCCTGGTAGCCCACACCGCCCCGGCCCGTGCGGATTCGCAATCGGGATCCCGTCGCCGATCTATCGGCGATGTATCGCCGATTCCAGCTCGATGTTTCCCCCCTGAGCCAGCCTCTGTCTAGCGCTCCCCCTCGCAGGTGTCGGGCCCTGAGCCAGCCGACGAGGTTCGTCAAGACGACGATACTCTCCGGCTGGAACGACTTCTGCTCCGTGCACCGCATCGTCGTGGAGTGAACTGTTGTCCGCGTGCAGGGTGGCGCCCAGGACGCCGGAGGCGGCTCCGCTGTCGCCACGGCCGGCTGTCGGCCGCCGCAGGGCGCCGCTGCCGTCAGAAATGCCGACCCAGCGACTGGTCCAGGCCTCGGTCTAAATCATGGGGAGCGCGTCGCCGAAAAGAGTCCCGCGACTCCAGGATGTCGAACTTGATGGGGCGGGAGGCGGAGAAGGAAAAGGAAAAGGGAGAGGAGGAAAGGGAGGGCGGGTAGCGGAAAGGCAGGATGGGGAGGATGAAGGGAGGAGGACGAGGGGAAGCGGTGTTAGGGCTTGACCATTTCGAAAGGTGTTCTGGGTCCGGGGGACGGGGGACGGAGGAGGACAAGACGGAGAAGGAGGAATCAGGGGTGGGTGGGCGGAGGGTGTGGTGGGGTGGAGCAGGCCATTGAGGGAGGAGGGCTAGGAGAAAGGAGGGTGGATGACGAGGGGGGGGAGGAGGAAGAAGGAAGAGGGGGAGGAGGGCGCATTTCCTCCGAGGGCCCACAGGCAGAACGTACCGCATGCGGCCTTAGGCCGATGATCAGGAGGAGGGGGAAGCGATGATGGTGATGATGATCATGATCATGATGATGATGATGCTGATGATGATGATGCTGATGCTGATGCTGATGATGATGATGCTGATGATGACTACGACGACGACGATGATGATGATGACGATCATCATGATGATGTGGATGATGATGATGGTGCTGGTGATAGTGATGGTGATAATGATGTTGCTGATGGTGGTAATGATGAGAACGATAATGATCCTCATGATGGTTGAAGCGATGATGATGACGATGATGCTGATGATGCTGATGATGCTGATGACGGTAATGATGACAAGGTGGTTCTGATGCTGAGGATGAGGATGATGATGTTGATGATGAGGATGTGGATGATGATGATGATGATGCTGATGATGATGATGGTGCTGGTGATAGTAATGGTGCTGATCATGATGATGCTGCTGGTGATGGTGATGATTATGATGATGTGTCTAGTGATGATGGTGATGCTGATGCTGATGATTATGCTGCTGATGATGATGATGAGCATGATGAGTATGATGATGAAAATGATGATGATGATGATGATGATGATGATGATGATGATGATGATGATAATGATGATGGTGATGATGATGATGGGGTTGGTGATAGGGGTGGTGGTGATGATTATGATGGTGATGCTGACGATGATGGTGGCGATGCTGATGATGATTATGATGATGATGTTGTTTCTGATGGGGATGATGATGATGATGGCGGCGATGATGATGCTGAGGGTGAGGATGAGGATGATGATGATGATAGTGATGATGAGGATGATAATGCTGGTGATGGTGATGATGCTGATAATGGTGATGCCGATGGCGATGATGATGCTGATGATGCTGCTGATGATAATGATGCTGATACTGATGACTAGGATTGTGGTGGTGATGATGAGGATGATGATGATGCTAATGTTGTTGATGATGCTGTGGGTTATGATGGCGATGGTCGGATGATGATGTTGATGATGATGATGATGAGGTTGCTGATGAGGGTGATGATGAAGATGATGATGATGACGATGAGGATGAGGATGAGGATGAGGATGATGAGGATGATGATGTGGATGATGATGACGACCATGATGATGGTGGTGATGATGATGATGGATTTGATGGTGGTGATGATGATCATGGCTGTGGTTGTGGTGATGATGATGAGGAGGAGGAAGAGGAGGGGGAGGAGGCGAAGGGAAGCGGAGAACGGCTCGAGCGAGTGACTAAGGCAGACGTGGATTCCGAGCGACGTGTGGGAAGAGGAGGAAGAGGGCTGTGATTATGATGAGGGAGTGTGAGGGGGGAGGCGGGGGAGGGGCGAAGGTCAACGACGACGAGGGGGAGGAGACGGAGGAAGAAACGGACGGGAGGTCTATTCGATCTACTGCTACACGGAGATCGTCGGGTCTGATTCCGAGCAGATGTCGGACCAGGCAATCCCAAAGGTGCCCACGCACTTATCCGCTGGCCCAAGTCATGGTGTCGTGTTTGCACTGGTGGACATTTGGCTATAATGCCAGTGCTTTCAAGACCTTCCACACTGCAATGCATGTTGCGATAGCGAGCGAATCTGACTACATTGGCACAGTACGCGGTCGCAACAATCGGGGTGACGTCGCAGGTTACCCTGGCTGCGGCACAGCAGGTCCGGCGATGGATGTGGAGCTCACTGGCGATGCCAACAGGGCTTTCAGGACCACGCATGCGGGACAATCGCCTCGACTGACACGGTGGGCGAGCAGTCTATGCGGATTGGCCGGCCTGGCATCCCGCCAGCAAGGCCGCAGCCTTCAGTTCTGGGGCCCACGCGCGAAGGGTCGGCGGATCTATGGCACTCGCCGGACGATCCGAACGATGGGCCCTGCGGAGAACGTGGGCGGCTGGCAGTGCGTGTCCGGGCAGACCTGCAACATCTCAGGCACGCGTCCAGCTCTGGGAGCCTTCCCCCTTTGTGGCATCTCCTGCTCGTTATCTGCCCCCCGCCATCTCTTGCTTGTTTCTCTCGTTGTTACCATCTCTCTCTGTCTCTCTCTCTCTCTCGATATCTATATATATATGATGGCTTTTACAGTATTGTGCTGCTCTCCCTCTCTCTCTCTATATATATATATCTCCCTCACTTCTCTCTCTCTCTCTCTGTCCCTAGTGTCGCTGCGTGCGTGGGTCTCCTGGTAGCCTGCGCAGCCTCGAGATGGCCCTGCATGATGGATGCGGAATGGCAGAGAAAGCGGCTGCGAAGAACCAAGACAAACGGCGGTCTAGCATCAGCAGCTCCAGCCGCCTGCGTCAGCAGCAGGGCCTACTCTGTGCGCCAGGCCTCACAGGTGTCCACCCGGACATGCAATTTCTTCCTTTCTTCAATGCGCGGCCCCCGGTAGGCCCGATCCTTTCCCCAGTGCCAGCGTTGCATCGCATGGTATCGCCAGCGGCACGAGAGTTGCCTGAACCATCACAGGACGCCTTCACACCTCGTGGCAAGCAGTTGGACGCCTGCTGTCCAAAGTTGTGGACGAAAAAGTTTGGTTTCATCCAGGCTAAACCCGTGAGTTGACGCTGTGGCCGAGGTGCTATGCAGCAGCCCTCAGGATGCCGCGTGACCAGCGCCCGTGTTCCCCGAGCGTTTCCCAGCCTCCCGAGGGCCAGCCCTTCCTCCCGAGTCGTTTTTTGATAGTCTCGGAGCCTGGCGCGTGCTCCTAGGGGCCGAGCACTGGCAAAGACCTCCCGGCGTGATTCTGTCACGACCCGAGCATGTTTGCTGGCGGTGAGCGAGGGGGGACATGAGAAGGGGCGGGCCTTCTCAAAAGGCTAAGAAGTCCGTGAGCCTTTTGAAAAGTTCCCTGACCCGCCCCCGAAGACACAGAAAATTTGTCAGAAGACCTTTTCCTTCTCATTTCTCCCCCTCGCTCGCCGCCGAGTCCGGGCCCACTTTGTGCTCGACTGCCCTCAGGCAGCGCGGCCGTCTCCCCTCCGCCCGGCCGAGAGGCATCGCGGCCGACGGCATCAGCGTCTTCGACCGCGTGATGGTGCGTGCGGACGGCTGCCCTGGCAGGTGCCGCTGCAGCGGCTTTGCGGACCCTTACCAGAAAGGCGAGGGGGGTGGGGGGTGAGGGGGGGGGGGCATGTGCTGCAACTTCAGCCTTGGAGGGGCCTGGGGAGGAGGGCGGGAAGAAGGGACGAGGAGGCGGAGGAGGAGGAGGAGCAGGAGGAGGAGGAGGAGGAGGATTTCCCTCGGGCCCCCCCACGACAGAACGTTAGGAGCAGCAAGAGGAGGAGGAGGAGGAGGAGGAGGAGGAGGAGGAGGAAGAGGCGGAGAGGAGGAGGAGGAGGAGGAGGAGGAGGAGGAGGAGGAGGAGGAGGAGGAGGAGGAGGAGGAGGAGGAGGGGGGGATGGGGAGGAGGAGGAGGAGATGGGAGGACCTGGAGGCGGAGGGGGGCGGGGAGGACGAAAATGAGAGGAGGAAGCCGGCAGGGGTGACTCAGGGACTGCGCAGCCCCTCCCCTCGCTGCTGCCGGCTGGGTCCGCCCTCTGCCCCTCTGCGTGTTCTTGGCGGCGGCGGGGCAGGAGGCGCGCGGTCGAGCCCCAAGTGTCCGACCCACCAGCGGCGAGCGGAGCGGGGCCCTGGAGAGAGGAGGGGAGAGGAGAGGAGGAGGAGGAGGAGGAGGAGGAGGAGGAGGAGGAGGAGGAGGAGGGAGGAGGAGGAGGAGGAGGAGGAGGAGGAGGAGGAGGAGGAGGAGGAGGAGGAGGAGGAGGAGGAGGAGGAGGAGGAGGAGGAGGAGGAGGAGGAGGAGGAGGGAGGAGGAGGAGGAGGAGGAGGAGGAGGAGGAGGAGGAGGAGGAGGAGGAGGAGGAGGGGGAGGCGGAGGAGGAGGAGGAGAGGAGGAGAAAAGGAGAGAGAGAAGAGGAGGAGGAGGAGGAGGAGGAGGAGGAGGAGGGGTACACCCTCGCATCAGGTGAGAGATAGGGAGGGAGGAAAGAGGGGAGAGAAGGAGGGTGAGGAAACGGGGGTGGGGAGGGGAGAGGAGGAGGGGGAAGTGGGGGGAGGACAGGAAGGAGAGGGGCGGGAGGCATGAGGAGAGGGGTCAGGAGGGATGGCGAGAGAGGAAGGACGATGAGGAGAAGTTGGGTGGGTGGGGAGGGAAGAAAATTGAGAAGTGAAGAGGGGGGGAGGAGAGAGGGGGGATGAGAATCTACGCTCACTGTTTGGTCTGCGGGCCTGTGGGGCCCAAACGGCCAAAATGGCACACAAATTTGTCCTACGTAGTTGCTGGAGGAAGAGAAGCAGCATGTATGGGGTACAGGAGCGGGAGGAGGACGAGGAGGAGGAAGAGTAGAAGGGAGGGAGTGGAAGGATGGGGGGGAGGAGAGAGGGAGAGAGGAAGGGATGACATATAATGAAGAGCAGCAGCAGCAGGACGCAGGGGGTAGCGGGCAGGACGCGGAGGAGGAGGAGGAAAAGGAGGAAGAGAAGGAGGAGGATGAGGAAAAGGATTCGGAACGAGGGCGGAGGAGGAGGAGGAGGAGGAGCCGGAGGAGGAGGAGGAGGAGGAGGAGGAAGATGATGAGGAGGAGGAGGAGGAATGAAGATGTGGCATCCATGAGGGAAGGAGGGCGGGAATATTTTACATGAGCTACAAGGCTGAGGATTGGCGCCATGGAGCAGTCTCGATGGTGAGGTCGGACATCAGCGGTGCAGACATTCGAAAGTTCGATTTGAAGCGAAGGTATGATTTCTCGCGGGCTGTCTGCACCCATGATCTTATCCTCCAACGCAGATCACGGTGGCATATGAGTGGTCCTTCAAGCCAAATGTAATGCAAGGGCCATCTGAAACTAAAAGAAGGGCCTCCTCCTCTTCCTCCTCCTTCTCCTCCACAATTATTCAATATGAGTGCTACTCTCCCTCTTCCCCTGATGACGGTTTGGTTGTTTTTTTGCAGGTTTCCCCGGAGTTGGGTTTTCGCTTGCATTTGCTTCCAAAATGCTGCTCTCGCTGAGGCGCCGGCCTCATTTTCGGGCCCCGCTCGTTCCGAATCGTGCTCCCGCTGCAGCGCTGGCCTCATTTCCGCCGGTCCCAGGCTGCACGCCCGAGCCAGCGCCCGGGCCGGCGCTCGGGCCGCCGGTTCCGGCCGGCGCCGGAAAATAGAGATCCGAGGCGGCGCCGAAGAAAGGCCATTCCAATACACATTTTTCTTTTGAAAATCGGCGCCCGAGCCGGCGCCCGGGCCGGACGCCCGAGCCGGCGCCCGCGCCGGCGCCCGGGCCGGGTCCGGAGCCAGTTCCGGCCGGCGCCGGAAAATCGAGTTCCGAGGCGGCGCCGAAAAAGGCTTTTCCAATGCACATTTTTCTTTTGAAAATGCTGAATTTCTGTTTCTGGCGCCCGGGAAGCCTCCCGGGCCGATTCCGGCGTGTTTCCGTTCGTTCCGAATCGTGCTCCCGCTGCAGCGTTGGCAGCATTTCCGCGCTTCCGCTCGTTTCGACTCGTGCTCCCGCTGCAGCGCTGGCGTCATTTCCCGTGCCATGCCACGGCATGCAATGCAATGCTAGGTTGATACTACGCTTCGCGGTGCTCTTCTACGCCATGCCATGCCGTGCTCTACAATGCATCGCGTACCCTTTCGGGATCATTGCCCTGCTCGACATCCGACGGTGCGAGTAGAGAGGGGATCTGCGCCATGGTAAGGGATGGGAGGGGGGGGGTAGGATGTCAAATATGACGCGAGCGCACCTAGCTTGTCCTCCTCCCCCTCCTCCCACTCCTCCGCCTCCTCCTCCTTCTCCTCCTCCTCCTCCTCCTCCTTCTCCCGCTCCTCCTCCCCCTCCTCCCCCTCCTCCTCCTCCTCCTCCTCCTCCTCCTCCTCCTCCTTTTCCTCCTCCTCCTCCTCCTCCTCCTCCTCCTCCTCCTCCTCCTCTTCCTCCTTGGTATCTGAGATGCCCTCTTTCTGTGGGTCTTTGTGAGCAGCCACTTTCCCGACCGATTCGACCACACCCACCGGTAGACGATCCGATCAAGACATCAGCCCAGCGAGCGGGCACTTATCACTGCGCTGAACAGGCTGCGTTTTTGGGAGGGAGGGAGGGAGGGATTGAGGAGGAAGAGGATGAGGAGGAGGAGATTCTGCGATCTGAGCCCCGGACGAGGCTCAGCGTGCTCCGCGATCTCGCACGACCCGCAGATTGGCGCCCCGTCCCAGACCGAGCTCGACGCCGTGAGCGTCGAGGACCCGAACGGGGAGTGGTGCTACGTCGACCAAGGCCAGGAGGACAGGGGGCCCGCATGAGCAAGAGCAGGAGGGAGGCCAAGTTGGCCGGGTCAAGCGGGTCTGAAGGCCCCGCCTGCTCCCACCCTGCCTCCCACAACAGAAGAATTGCTGCTGCCCATTTTGGTACTCGGATTGGAACGTGCTCCTACCTCGCAAGCGGAAGGCGTTCCCGCGCGGCCCCGCTTCCGACGACTTGGCGAAGAGAACGCTAAGCGGGCCGCACAGGAGCGGGAGCGGCAATATTCCGATCGGCGCCGCGAGAACGAAGCATGCGCCGCGCGGACACAGCAGTGCCACTTTCACTCGCAAGCTTCCCAGCGCTTGGGCAAGATCGGCATTTCGCCCGTTCTCGCGCGGCCAAGCTGCCGCGTTGTAATGCGCTTCGGCGAACGAGCCATGCGCCGCGCCCGCGCTGGAGCTCCACTTCCGAGCGAAATGAACACGGATCTTGGGCGACGGCGACAAATAGCCCCACGTTCTCAGGCCCCCCAAACGAACTTGCGAGTGACAGTTATGTGCCGCGTCAAGGCGGCAGTGCCACTTTCAGACGAAATCTGCGCGGCGCCGATGCGAGGGCGACATGTTCGTCCGATCGCGCGTCGATGAGACCGCGTAAGAGAAATGTGCACAACGCCCCACCGGACAGCAAATTCTTTCGATGTTTTCCAACGCGGGCCCCAACCAGTGTGTGTCCAAAAATAGCTGGTTGGGGCAGTGTACGCAATGCAACCTATGTGGTGCGGTCCATTTGGTGCAATCTATGCGGTGCTATTCGCCTTGCAGAGTTTTTGACACTTCGCGTACTCCCACCAACCCATCCAGAAAAGATCGCCAGACCTCCTGCGCGACGTGTCGCTGGTTGGTTTCTCCCGGCGTATCGCTGGTTGCCTACGGGCCTCGTGTGTCACTGGTTGCCTGCGGCCCTGGACGTGTCACTCGTTGCCTGTTGCTTTAGACGCGTCGCGTCTTGGGCCCGATGCCTCAAAAAAGAGGGGTCCTAAATGTAGACCCCTCCATCGGTGGCCCAGTATTGGAGGCATTTTTGACCCTACTGGGGCCTTTTCGGGGCTCTCCTGGGGCCTTCTTGGAGCCCTTTTCGGGTGGCTCTTGGAGGTCTCGTGGGGCTGCCTGGGCCCCCCTGGCTAAAGAAGAGAGGGTATTGAATGTACCCCCCCCCCCTCATTTCGGAGGCTTAAATCTGGCCTCTTGGGGCGCTCTTTGGCGGCTCGTGGGCGCTCCAGGGGCCAGCATGGGGCCCTCTTGGGCCCCTCTTGTTGGGGCCTCCTCAGGCCATCTTGAGGCCATCTTGAGGCCTCAGAGGCTTATCGGAAGCGACAAAGCAAGAAGGCAATGCACACATTGACTTTCCCATGTGGTTGAAGGGTTTTGGCCCCTTGGAGGGTGCCTAGGAGGGCTCGAAGGGCGATTGGAACTAGGTCGGGGCTGCCGTGGGGTCTCTTGGAAGTATGCCGGCGGCTATCTGGAGCCATCTTCGGCTGGTTTAAGCTATCTTGGAGGCCGTTTTGGGTTGCCGAGGCCCCCACCACCACTCCCAGGCCTGGGGGAGGGGGTTAGGGGAGGGGTCAAGACTCCCTCCCCGACCGCAAGCCGTCTAGCTCACTCCCACCCCCCCTCCCAACACATACGTAGCACCCGAGCCTGGCCCGAGCCGCAGCATATGCAGCAGTCGTCTTTGGATGGGCAGGTACTGGGGGCGAATCCGCCACCGCCGCCTCCGCCGCCGCCGCCGCCGCCCGCCGCCGCCGCCGCGCCGCGCCGCCGCCGCCGCCGCTGTCCGCCGCCGCCGCCGCCACGGCGCCGCCCGCGGCCGCCGCCGCCGCCTCCGCCGCCGCCGCCGCCCCCGCTGCCGAAACGCCGCCGCAGCCGCTGCCGCCGCAGCCGCTGCCGCCACCGCTGCCGCCGCCGCCGCCGCCGCCGCCGCCTTTCCCGCCGCCGCCGCCGCCACCGCCGCAGCCGCCGCAGCCGCTGCCCCCGCCGCAGCCGCCGCAGGCGCCGCTGCCGCCAAGTGTTGTTTTTTGATAGGGATGGTGGGGGGAGGCCGCATCGGGTTCACGGCGCATGCTCCGAATTTGGAGGCAACATGTGTTTTGTATTGGTTCTTACAAGGGATGGTGGGGGGCCTTCATTGGCTCGGGTTGGCTCCCAGTCGCCTGGGTGAGGAGGTGTATACTAATAGGGAACAGTGGTCAAGACAAGACACCCTCCTAGATAGCAAGCCGTCTCATTTCCACCCGCCCTCCCAACAGGGAACCAAAACCGACCCCGTGCGCGCGACGCTGAGACGAGGTGCGCCACGCGTGCCAGGCGCGCCACTAGCGTCGGCATTGCTCCTGGTTGGCTGCCGGTCGCCTGGGGGAGGGGGGTGTATATTTGTAGGGAACAGTGATGAACCCATCCCCCGAGCAAGGGAGTGAGAAAGAGAGAAGACAAACATCGTTAAACCACCTGCGCCCAGAGGGCTGGTGGGACTTGAAGTTGTCACTTCCACTACGTGCCCAATCAGTTCACCTTCCCACCCACGACTTGATTTGCAAAACCAAGTCGACGCTTGGCACTGTGTGGAGCATCTCTGCGGCAGCACTAGCGCGCAAGCTTGTTCGCAGAACGCCCAGCTAGGCGCCCAGCTAGTTTTGCGCAACCGGCTCTGCCCCTGTGGCGTTGAGTGCGGTTCACAAGTCGCGGTGGCTTGCGGACGTTTCAGTGCTCGCCGGTGACTCGGACGGGCGCGGTATCATGGTGACGCCCATTATGACGGAAACGATGATGATAGCAACGGTGATGGTGACGATGCTTACGATGACGATGGCAAGGCCAATGGCGGCGCCGATGCTGGTCACGCCGATGACGGTGATGCTGCCAATATGTCGCAGGTGAAGATTTTGGATCAAATTCGGCATGCGCGCGCGGCCGACGCGCGCGAGTGGCCCGCATGGTGTTATTGGACAGGGTCGCGCACCCCGAGCAGGCGCGGAAATGCGTACGACTGATTTTGGTCATGCGGCCGCGCGAAATCCCAGCATGTTCTCATCTGAGGAAGCTGTTGATAGACCTATGATTTCCGGACGGATTTGCAAGAGCGTGCGCGCAGTCTTTTTCCGTGATGATATTATAGGTCATCGGATACATCGATCGTCATTTCCCTTCGGATTTATGGATGTTGGGCGGATTTCGACATTAGCTCGCGTCGACGCGCGCGTCTGGACGTTGTGCCACCTTTTGAAGGAGCTCGTGCAATTTATGGCGTGTTGATAAAAGAGGGCGGCGTGCGCAATGAATTATTTGACAAGGGTGAGGGGGGCAGATGACGGGACTCCTTCGGATGGCATGGGTTCAAATGTAAGATGAACGGTTTGGCCAAAACCATATGTAAGTTGCCGTGTACCACGGGGTGCACGTAAGGCCAGAGGGGATGATAGTTGTTTTGAACGGGGAATCTCCGTGGAGCATATATATGTACATATGTATATGTATATATGTGTGTATGTAGATGTATATGTATATGTCTATGTACATGTACATGTGCATGTATATGTACATGTGTGTATGTATGTATGCATGTATGTGTGTATGTATGTGTGTAACTATGTATGTATGTATGTATGTATGTATGTATTTATGTATGTATGTATGTATGCGTGTACGTATGTATGTATGTATGTATGTATGTCTGTATGTATGTATGTAGGTATGTATGTTTTTATGTATGTATGTATGTCTATATGTGTATGGGTGTGCATGCGCACATATGTATACTTGTATCTATATACGCAACATATGTACACACATGCATACAGACATACAGCCGGGCCGAGGTATCAGACCGAGGTCGGCACGGGGAGGGTACGTTGCTGTTCTTCGTGGTTGTTGGATGTTTTTGTGCGTCCCCAGGAGGGCCGTCTCAGATGTTTTGTGTTTTTGGCAAACGGAGTGCCTCGTCTTCTTGAAGTGTGTGTGTGTGTGTGTTTGTTTCTGGCCTATGTCCGACTGTAATGCTGCAGTATACGTGGTACAACATATGTGGTGCGATCTATGTTATGCAATATTTGGTACGCGATCTGTGTTGTGCATTCTATGTTGTCCAATCGGTCTGGTCCGGGATATGTTGCGGAACCTATATCATCCCATCCACGCGATGCAACCTATGAGGTGCAACCTGTGTGGTGCATTCTAGGTGGTGGAGTTGATTTAACAAGCGAACTGACAACTTCCATGCTCCTGCAAACACACACCGCACCCACTCGCAAGTTGGTTTGCACAACCATGCGGCGGCGATTGCGATGAGTGCTTGGCGTTGGCTGGTACATCAGTGCGGCCGTTCTAGCCCGCGCATGCTCGCGCGCACAGCGGCCAGCTATTTGGGCGCGACCGCCGCGGCCGCGGTGGCGCTGACCGATGGAATTTCCCCAGCGGGCACTTCAATGCGAGTCGGTGACTTGGGTGGGCACAGTATCATGGCGACGCCGACAACGGAAAACACGGTAATTTGAGTAGCGATGATGGTGGCGATGGTGGCGATGACGACGACAAGGCCAATAACGGCGCCGATGTTGATCACGCCCGCCGGTAACGATGACGATGTCTTCGCGTCGGCGCTGCATGTTTCTGCAGGAGTTCGACATGCGCGCGAGGCCGACGCGCGCGAGTGACCCTTGTTGTATCATTTGACATGGATGGTACCCTACCCAGCACGCGCGCAAGGGCGTTCGAATGAGTCCTACATGCGGTGCGAGAGGCCCGTTTGGCAGAATGCGATGATCATGTTGAAAAACTCTGGATGTTCTTAAGAATGGGCAAGAACGCGAGCGCGGGACTTTTTCTTAGAAGATTGATGTTGCAAAACCACGTCTCGTATATACGTTTTCGGTGCACTCGATTTTGGCATCCCTACGAAGCCGATGGTGTTTGAAGGAGTTCGGCATGCAACGGCATGCGCGCGCCCACGTCGTCCCATTTGTTGCAAGGGATTATTGCGTCAACGCGCACGCGAGGGCGTTCGAAAGATTTCGACACGCGCGCGCGAGAGGCCATTTTGGAAACATGTTATGCACAGATTGGCACACCTATGGTAAGCAATCGCAAAAGCGCGCAACACTATGTTTGAAAGGTTTTGTTGCGAAACCATGTTTTTGTCACTGTTTCGTGACATTTGGTTTTGTACTCCGTACGACGTCTTAGATTTCTGAGAGATTCCGGCATGCGCGCGCGACGACATGCGCGTGTGCTTATCGTTCAAGTTTTTGTTGCACTGGTTTTTGTTTAATTGATGTGTTTTTGATAAACGAGTGCGCGCGCATAACATTTTCTGCATCGGATGAGGTGCGTGTGGGGGGGGGGGGGGGCGAACTTCGGCCTGCCTGGGGTGGTACGAGTTCGTATTTAACATGGACGATGGGGCCGAATCGTGTGCAGATTGCAATACGAAAAAGTGGACCGTGATCCCTGGGTGGAGGGGCGATATCCTAATATTGCAGTGGCGTTCGGCAAATGCTGCCGATCCGGGTCGCTTGGGGTGCCCTCCGGACTGGGCGGCGACACTTCGCCGACAGACACGCACGCACACGCTCGCAGACGTTACGCGCACGCGCACACACACACACACACACACACGCACACACATACACACACACACACACTACACACAGACACACACACACACACACCACACTCACACACGCGCGCCACCTTCGCAGGCACACACACACACACACGCACACGCCAACAACACTCCGATTTCCTTCTCGCGTACACGGACAAACATTACCCCGCGCACGCGCGCACACACACACACACACCCTCCCCTCCTTCCCCGGCAGAGCCACCCCGGCAACACCCCCGAGGCTGAAGCTCTGCCTCGAGGGGGGGTTGCCGGGGTGGCTCTGCCGGGGATTCCCGGACGCGGCGGGTCCGACCCCCTCCCCTGTCCCCAATTCGCCCTGTCCACAGCCCTACCCCTCTTCCCCCAATTCCCCTTATCCGCAGGCGAGACGGGGGACTGGACCCCCCCCCAACGCCGCCGGAACCCACGCCACCAGAGCCCCCCCTTCTCCCTTACCTCGGCAGAGCCCCCGGTCCCCCCCTCCCCCCCTCCCCCTTGAACTCACACACAGGATCGGCTGATTTGAAAGAAAACTGAATCTACGCTGTGCAATCCACGATGCAGCGCTTCAAGTTGTCACCCCCATTGCTCGCGCAATCGTCCCACCCTCCCACCCACAACTTGGTCTGCAAAACCCATGCGGCGGCGATTGCGATGATTGCTTGGCACTGGCTGGCGCATCTCTGCGGCCGCACGGCGGCGCGCAAGCTCGCGCGCTGAGCGCCCAGCTAGCTGGAACAGCCGACGCAGCCGCGGTGGCGCTGACCGATGGAACCTTCCCAGCGCGTCTCACAAACCGCGCTGGCGTGATGGCATTTCAGCGCGGGTCGGTCACTCGGGCGGGCGAGGTATCATGGCGACGTCGGCAACAGCGGCAACGATGATGAATGTAGCAATGGTGGTGACGATAGTGACGTCGACGACGGCAAAGCCAACGATGACGACGCTGCTGGTAGCGCCGGTAACGATGATGACGTCCATGTGCCGCTGATGAAGTATAGGAAGGATTTCGACATGCGCGCGCGGCCGACCCTCGCGGGGCCCGCGTTGTGTTATGTGACAGGGATCGTGCCCCCACCACGACGCGCGCAAAGGCGCACGAATCATTTCGACACGCTTGCGCGGGAGGCCCGCGTGGTTTCGTTTGAGGAACATGTTGGAAAACGGTTCTGGCATTTGCAAGAATCGGGCGGAACCACATGTAAATTGCAGTGTCGCAAAATGTGCGGGCAAGTTTGGGGACAGGCGGGAACTTAGATTTCTTAAGAACCGAAAATCTACCCAGCGCGCTCTATGCGAGGCGGCAACGAGGCGACGACGGCGAGAACAGGGCGGCCAAACCGACGCCTGGGCTGAGACGACGGACGGCGACAAGGCGGCGACGGGGCGGCGACGGCGAGAACGGGGCCACCTGACCGTCGCCCAGGCCCAGACGACGGGCGGCGACGAGGTCGGCGACGGGGCGGTGACGACGAGACCGGGGCCGCCAAACCGACGGCCAGGTCCGTTCGTTTTTAGACCAGGTGGGGGACCGCACATGCAAAGACGGGTGAAAATGAGCGCGGCGCCGAGGCGAGAGCGGTATTTCGGCCTTTCGCGCGGGATGCGCGGCCCGTCCCACTCCGGCCACGCATTCTGCAACATGGACAACGTAATGTCCATGCTGAAACGGAGTATGTTGATTCTATGTGGTTTGTTGGGCATGTCGGTTGCGACCGCCCGGGTGTGGTTGTTATCGGCCGGTTTTTTTGGCAGAGTGAAAATACATTTTAACAAGGAGTAAGAGATGAGGAGGATGATCGAGGAGTAAGAGAAGACGCAGGAGGGATGAGGAGGAGGACCGAGGATCCGAGCAAACCTTGATATGTATCAGCGAGGTTGCGTCGCACCCTTCCGTCCAAAGTCCCCTCCCCAGAAGTCCTTGCGGGCAGCCTTCACTGCGCGGAGCGCCAACATGAAGGACAGCGCCCACACTTCAGGCGGGAACTTCATGTTGACCAGGAGTTAGCCTTTATCCTTCGAGAGACAAGGAATGCGACAAGGTGAGATCACAAAGTGCCATGACGTGTCCAGCAGCAGCCCCGTTCTCAGAAGGAACCGCCCTGCATCCGTGTAGCTGTTGCGCAATGCTCGGCTTGGCCTGGTCATCCAACGCATAAATGTCGCAGGAAAGGGTCCCAGTTTGAAGAGGAATCGCCCCCACCCGTATAACTGTTGCATCATTTCTACCTCGAGGAACAGGTGTTGAGGAAGAGCGAGGCGAGAGCCCCATGTTCAGAAGAAAAAAAAACGCCCTCCGTCCGTGCAACTGTTGGACATTGGTTTGGGGCGAGTGCGCCCAGCGCCCAGGCGAGAGGGCCATTTTGAACACCACCCGCCCCCCCGCTCCGTGTGTAGCCGGCTGGTTTGAGCAAGGGCAGTGGGCGCGGCGCCAAGGCGAGAGTCCCATTGGAAAACGACCCGCCCTCCATCCGTGTAGCAGTTTTGCACGTTGGGAGACGCCTGTGCGCGGCGCCGGGCGGCAGCTCCTTTTAGGAGACATGTCGCCATCGATCCGTGCAGCTGCTGGACATGTCAAGGTTCAAGGTCGTTAACGGCTCGAGGTTTTAGGCAAACCGCCCGGTTTGCCTTGACGACGCGAGGAGGGGGAGGGAGAGACGAAGGAAGAGGAGAAGGGAGAAGAATGGAGGAGAAGGGAGGGGAAGGAGGAGGGAGCAGGAGGAGGAGGAGGAGGAGGACGATTGATGCGGGAGGCAGGAGGGAGGAAGAGGATCGAGGAGGATACGGAGGAGGAAGGGGGAGGGACGAGAACCAGAACATCTAACATGTGGTTGCGTTTTAGGGGATCCCGCAGATTACATAGTTGGCTTTGCCCATCCCGCCACCGTGCCTGGGGCGTGGACCAGAGGCCATTGAATGCATATCGGGACCTCTCAAGGGCCCCTTGAGGGTTTCTGGGCCTCTTGGGGACCTCTCGGGAGTCTCTTGGGGACTCCTAGGGGCGTCTGGGGCTTCCTGTTGGCACCCTGGGGGTCTGCTGGCTGTACCTCGGGGGCCACCCTGCGCTGGAGGGCTCGAGTTTTCAGTTCGAAGCTCCCCTCTTGAGGACCCCGGCGGCTCTCTGTGGCCTGTACTGGCGGGGGGGCCCTGGGCCGTCCTGAGCGTCTTGTGGATGTCGAAGAGGAGGGCATGCCACTATCGTGCAGGAAACGCTACGGCTGGTGAGCTCTTGGGCCAATCCCCCCCAGGGCCTCCAAGACGGCCCAAGAGGCCCCCCTGAGAGCCTCGGGCCGGGCCCTCAGACAGCCTTAGGCCCCTGCTGGAAGTGCGGGCTCCAGACCACAGGCCACGCCCTCGAGGTCCCTGGAAAAGTCGCGGCGCAGCCTAAGAGCATCCAGGAACGCCAACAGAATCCTGAAGTCGGTTGCCGTGCCGTTGCCAAGTCGCTGCGTCATTCTCGGCCGCTGCCGGCAGATTCGGGGTCGGTTTCGATTTCGTTGTCGGTTCTGGCGGTTTCCGGTGTCGCTGTCGTCGTCGACGGCCTTGGTGCAGGAGGGCGGAGGGATCGAGACGACGACGACGATGACGACGAGGGACGAGGACGAGGACGAGGACAAGCTCGTCGACGTCGACGAGGTCGCCTTCCAACCCAAAGCCGCTCAAAATCTAACTATTGCCCCCTCCCAGAGCCCGTCCTTGCGAGTTGTTCGAGCTGCGTCCAGCCGTGGCGGCGAGAAGCGTTCAGAGGCCCGAGGGAAACCGAAAGCGCACTCGATCATCGATCCTCCTCTTCCTCCCTCCCTCCCTCCCTCCCTCTCTCCAGAAACGTCCCCAAAACCCTCGAGTCAAAGGCGACTGCGAGGCGATGAGGCGGTTCGGAAGCGGCGCGGGGGTGGAATGCCGCTAGGTCTCTGCCCCGACGAGGTTCCGTCGCCGACCTTCGGCCAGTACCTCATATCGTACAGGCGCGCGACCCCCGCGCGAAAGTGGTTCTCCTCCTTGTTTTGTTGTTCCTCCTCCTCGCCCTGCCTTCCTCCTCCCTGCCCCCCTTCGTTTCAGTTCTCCTCCTCCTCCTCCTCTTCGTCCTCCTCCTTAGCCGCTTTGGCTCAAGACCATGAGTTCCACAGGGGAACAATTGGATACCGCTAGTCCGCGGCTACACCCCAGGAGCTTCCCCCTGTTCGATTTCCGCGACGAGCTGCCAAGCCGTTGCGGGCCGTGGGCTGCTTCGCGCTGAGAGATGCGGGTAAACGGTGGAGATTATTGTTCCTGCATCGCTTAAAGCAGTCATGGGCGTCGGCTCCGAGGTCAAGGTCGGGATTCCCCGTAGCAGCAAGCATGATGAGAAGAATTCCAAGGAACAAGAAGACAGGGAATGATCGGGATCGGGACCGTGATCACGAACGATTCGAAGCTTGTCGGCCCTCCCCCTCGCCATCATCAGAAGACTCTTGCTCCCCGCCGCCACCGCAAAGGGCTGCCCGGGTAGTGAACGGGATAGGCGGGCTCGCATTGCTGCTACTACTGCTGCTGCTGCTCATGACATGGCTGTCCCACCATCAGGCAATGGAGTCGAGGAGAACCTTTTGCGAGGCTTCGACAAAGCCCCCACCTTCCCCGACGGCCAGATCACTGGCCCTCCTACTCCGACATCCATGGCTCGTGACACTCCCATCACAGGCCCTCCCACGCCCAAGAACGCCGCGGACGGGACAGGGTGGGCAAATGAAGCTGACTCATAAGCTTCCGGTTCTCAATACCCAACTCAAGCAGTTCAAGATCGCAGCGATCGAGGACTTCACGAACACGGCGATGGAATCCCTCTGGCGAGGGCTTCCCGACGCGTTGTCCAAAGCGACAGGGCCATTATTGTAAGCACGCGAGTGGAATTTCAATCGGCAGATCAGGTTTGTTCAGCGGCAGGTCGATCAGCATGGTTCGAAGATGGCGAGAACCGACGGGAAATAGATCTGGCACTGGAGGAGCGCCTGGCACAGCCGGAACCGGAGCTCGACCTCGGCAAAGCGAAGGCAAGGGACACCCCGATCGTTTCATATGTTTGAGATCGTGCAGCTGACCCGACGACGTCGGATGTGCGTGCTGGAGATATGCTAACCCAAAACAGTGGTGCTGTTTTCATTGGCCGAGAGGTTGCAAGCAGCTAGCGTGTCTTTCGGAAGGGAGAACACGATCCAAGTTCATGAGATGGCTAAGCAGTTCTTGCTTGTCTTCCAGGGCCTTCATCCAGCTACAGGAGAGTCAAGGCGCCGCCAGGCGGAAGGAGGAAGGTGGCGCAACTTCACAGCGACGCTCGCGGCCAACGTGGTACCGCTGCACATATCAGATGTTAAAAAACTGGATATGTGTAGATATTACCACGGAGACGGCTTGCAAGTGCTTGCGGCAAGTTTAGTCAGAGGGGCTGACCATCAACGCGTTCATCGATCAGGAATGCGGCCAGCTGTTGGGGGCAATGACCGCGAGAGCGACAACGTGCAGCAGGATGCGATTGTCTTGACCTGTGCCCACTTGGCCGCCGCGCCCGTAGTGCTGGTATTGCTTGTTTGCATTTGTGTGTGAGAGAGGATGTGTGTGTGTGTGGTGTGTGTGTGTGCGTGTGCGCGCGTGTTCGTGTGTGTATGTGGTTCAACACCACAAGCACAACCAAAACACCATCGGGCGTGGACATGCTACGCCAACTCAGGACACCACGCTTCCGTACCAACGGAGTCGTTACGCCCGCAAGCAGTTTTCTTGGTGGCCGCGAGGAACCCCTCGGAAGGCACTCGCTGTGCTTGTTTTTTTGTGAGAGCGCTAGTTCGGCCAAGCGGTCCTTCTGGGCGAGGTCAGGGTTTCGGACGAGCACGGAGCCCTCGTGGGCCGCCCGCTTTATGTCTTCGGGGACGGATCTGGGGGGAGGGGAGTTCTCCTCGGACCCCAGGGCGGACGTGTAAAGTGACCATCCGTATATAGCGCTAGCGCCCAGCGAACCCTTGCTCGGGCAACGCCTGTGCGAACTGGCGGCTGTGCTTCTAGGACGGCTCAGGACGGTGCCACGATCGGAGTTGTCCGCGTGTTGTCTTGCTCTGGAGCATGCGCGTGGGTCATTGGCGCATGTCACTGGCTGCATGTCTCTCGCGTCGGACTGAAACCTCGGCATTGCAAGTCTCCCGTGTCTGATTGGAACCTCGAGAGCTGTTTCCCATGGGGGGCCTCAGCGGCGACCTCTGGGCTCGGATCGGTCTCGCTTTGAAAATTCCGCGGCCCCGCCGGGGTCAAGGCTTTGTGGACGAAGTCCCACATGGGTGAGGATCCCAGGAACATCAAGTCTCAGTGGGAGGCTTTTCTTTGTCAAGGCAATGCTCGCGCGGACGTTTGGGCGGGGGCGGCTGCCAGCTGGTCCTGGGGCCAAGCTGCGACGCAGCCGCCTACGCGTACTGATTTTTGTCACGCCTCGGCAGCCATGGTCCCCACCAGGGCTCGGCGCGCGCTGCTAGGTTCTTTGAAGGTCGAGGTTTGGGCACGCAGGCATCAGGCCGCCCAGGATGGGGGTGCCTCCCAAGTCGGCCCTCGACAAGGTTTTCGACGCCAGCACTCATAGGTCAGGCCTTCTGTAGGTAGATGGCGTTGCCAGCGGTGTAAGCACATTGTCCCGAGGTCTGAACTCCTGGTTATGGCGGCTCAGGTGTGTCTGAAGGTTCTCGTCGCCGACGCTGGTGCGCCTCCTGGTGAGTCTTGGTATGATCCTGGTTTCGAGGACGTTTCCCTCTTCGGGCCGCTGCGATTAGTGCAGCTTGTTGGAGACGCGAGCCTGCACTCGTCTCATCAGCTCCACACCATGAAGGAATTGTCTCTCACTGTTTGTTTTGCCTGCGGCGTCCTTGCCGCCTCCTACGGACGCTGTCTCGCCGATGAGTGTGCTGGAGGGTAGGGCCCGACTAAGAAAGGCCACGAGAGCCTCTCCAGGATCCGCAGGATATGTTTCCCGTTCCACAGAGGCCCACCAGCAGCCTCCGCGGCGGCGGTAACCGAGTTGGAAGTCGCTGTGCCTCAGCCTCCTGGTGGGGCCCCAGGGCCGTCACCCGTCGATGAATATGTTGCTGTCTCGTATGCGCGCGCGGCCCGCGACACGGCCTTCTCCACGCAGCTGGCCGGCGAGGAGGACCCGCCACCGTTTTGGTTTGCTGCCAGTGCCTCCATCTCACGCGCCGCTGCAGGAGTGGCCGTTGCAGTTGTTGCGGCCTTTGTTGCGGGACAAAGAAGGTATAGGAGACAGCAGCGGCTGATCTTGATCGTGTCGCACTGTAGCGATTCAGCGTGATCCAGCCGAATCTTCTCCCATATCCTCCGCCCCTTCCTCCCTCACAGCGCAAGCAGCGAAACTGTGAGTATTTTCGCTCGTCTTCCTCCTTCCCCTCCTCCCCCTCATCACGTCACGCTGGTTCTCCTCCTCCTCGTCCTGATCGTCTTCCTGCTCCCCCTTGTCCCCAGACCCCCATCGCATGGGCAGAATCACAAGAATCCCGTCGTTCCGATGGAATCGCACCGAAGGTTCTTCTAAGTTTCGGCGCCCAGTTCCTCGCCGTCGCAGCCCGCGGCGACGCGGTCGAACACCACCATCACCGCCCCCCCCCCCCCAAGACCCCGCATGAGGACCAAGGTCTCAGTGTTCAAGGTCTTCGAGCGATGTATCCAAAACGGTTGTTGTAGAATCTCAAAGCCATTGAAATCATATCAGGTGGCGGAGGGGGGCCCTGTGAGTGCGCGCCCGCGACCTGTGCTCCTCGTTTTGCTGCCGCGTTTCCCCCCACACCCCTGAGTGTTTCGGCCGCGTTTTCAGACACTTATTCTCGGCTTGCACCGAGTACGCTCGGCCTGCCCCACTCGCAAGCGGCAGCGACTGCGTTGTTGCTGGCGTGGTAGTATGGCTCCTCGTGGCCAGGTCCATTAGGACATTAGTGGAGCATCTTGACGGTGCCATCACATGTTTTGCTTCAGCATGTAGTCAGGAAACGAGAGTCAGCAGCGCATCAGACGAAGGGCCCAGCACTGCCGGAAAGAGAGAGGAGCAAGGGGATGGATGGGAGGGGCGATGGAGGGAGTGAGAGAGGGAGTCACATGTGGTCTTCCCTTTCCCTTGGCTAGTCTGGCAGCAGACGCTTCGGCTACGCGTTCCTGGGCTTGCGACGGAGCACAGACGAGGAGGAGGAGGAATGTAAGTGACACATGCGACGGCGAACACAAAACTATAAGTTCGAAAACACGTAATTTGGAAACACATGATCATCGTATGGTATGTTCGCCTTCGGGTCGTTTCACCTTCGATCTTCCCACATTCGACACCCAATGGATGCTTCTCCCCTAAGTTTTCTTAACCTTTGAGCAAGTGGCCGAGCGGGACAATGAGCAGGGCGAATTCTTTACGCTTCGCGTATCCCCACCAGCCCATCTCAAAACAGCAACTCTTGCGAAGCATGCCGACAGTCGTGTTTTTCAGGCGTGTTTCCGCCTGCCCCCGCATATCTCCCCTGTTCCTCCTTCCTCCCGCCTTCTTGTACATCCTCCTTGTGGTGGGAGCGGGAGAAGGACGAGGCGGAGGAGGAGGGAGAGAAAGCGCTCCTCGTGGTTTGAGTCGTTTGGGGTTTCTCGTCCTGGTGTGAGTCGTTCGGGCCCTTCTTCCTGGTGTGAGTCGTTCGGGCTCTTCGTGGTGTGAGTCGTTCGGGCTCTTCGTGGTGTGAGTCGTTCGGGCGCCTCGTCCTGGTGTGAGTCGTTCGGGCCCTCCTTGTGGTGTGAGTCGTTCGGGCTCTTCGTGGTGTGAGTCGTTCGGGCCCCTCGTCCTGGTGTGAGTCGTTCGGGCTCCTCGTGGGGCCTCTTGGGGGCCTCTTGGAGCCTCTTGGGGCCTCTTGGGGGCCTCTTGGGGGCCTCTTGGGGGCCTCTTGGGGGCCTCTTGGGGCCTCTTGGGGCCTCTTGGGGGCCTCTTGGGGGCCTCTTGGGGGCCTCTTGGGGCCTCTTGGGGGCCTCTGGGGGGTCTCTTGGAGGCCTCTTGGGAGCCTCCTGGGGGCCTCTTGGGGCCATCTTGGGGCTTCTTGCGACCTCCTCAGAAGCGCAAAGAAGAGCTGCCCCCTGAGAAGGACAAAATGAGGCCAAAACCTTAGTAAAATCAATGATTTTGCTATGAAGGACGATGAGCGCTGCCCCCTCAGAAGTCCAAAATGGGGCCAAAACCATAGTAAAATCAATGTTTTTGGCTTCACAGAAGAGGAGAGGGACTTATCTGCGCCCCCCCGTCGGGGCCAGAATCCTCGTGAGGGTCGTCGCTTTTTAGCCCTCCCACGAGTCGAAATTTACCCCCCTGACGACCCGCCGGACTCCCAATCCAGGCCCAGGGGGAGGGGGTAGGGGGAGGGGTAAACCCCTCCCCGAAGGGGAAGAAGGGGGGTTGAGGACAGAGAGAGCTCGCTAAACCACTCACGCCCAAAGGGCTGGTGGGATTGGAGCTGCAGCAAGAGAAGGCGGGAGCAGGACGAGCAGAAGGAGCACGATAAGGTCCAGTAGGAGGAGCAGGAGAAGGACTGCAGTAGCCATCTTGGTTAGTGTTCCGTAGGTGTTGCCCACGAACTTCTGGTTGCCTAGGCAACGGCAGGGGGGGGGTAGACAGATTTGTTGCATGAGTTTCACAGGGTCTGGCACGTGAGCAGTAGCATGCAGGGTGCAGAATGCATCGTGCTACCGCAGCCTTTTTCCCAATCGAACTCCTTATGAGCGGCCTGGTGCCGCGAAAGCTCCAGCACTGGAACAAGTAGAGTTGATCGTCGCATCTTTCCGTCTGACTGATCTCTCAAACGCTTGGGGTGTTCAAGACGCTCTGGGCAGTGTCTACCCTCTTCAACCTGGCATATTGGGAACAACTTTCTCGCTTCCGGTTCTCAAGCTGCACAACCAAAGCTCATTGTTTTTCTTCTGTTCCAGACGCCTCTTGGTTTTCCAAGAGGGCCAGTGGCCTTTCAGGCCCGTTCTGGTTGTCGTTCCCCACACGGTGCTGGCACCAGGGTCTCCTCTGTCGGTTTTGAGCCATTGGACGGGTGTGGCGTTGGCTCTCGCTCGGTGCCTGGTCGGCTGACGCCCGTGGGCGCCTCGTGGGCGCCCCGTGCGCGGGGTTGCTGCGGCAGGGCTTCGCCGGGGGCCCCGCTGGGTTTTGCCGCCCGCGGGCGCCTCGTAGCCGCCCTGTGTGCGCCGAGCGGCTGCCTCCCGATCGCGCGCGCCCCGCGGTCGGGGGGGCGTGCCGAGGGCCTCGCCCGGTGGCCGCCCGTGGGCCGCGCGGGCGCAGGCGCGGGCTGCCACCCAGTGGCCGCCTCGCGGGCGCCCGCACGGCCTGCGCCGCACGGCTCGCGCCACGCCGCGCACGCCCTGCAGATTGCTCCTCCTCCTCCTCCTCCTCCTCCTCCTCCTTCCTCCTCCTCCTCCTCCTCCTCCTCCTCCTCCTCCCTCCTCCTCCTCCTCCTCCCTCTCGTCCTCCTCCTCCTCCTCCTCCTCCTCCTCCTCCTCCTCCTCCTCCTCCTCCTCGCGCACCGTATGGTGCGCATCGCACGAGTTGCACTACGGTGCTTGCACGTCCCATTCTTGACACCCTGCGCGGGCTGCCACCCGTGGCCGTCTCGCGGGCGCCCGCACGGCGTGCGCTGCATGGTTCGCACCACACAGCGCACGCCATATAGATTGGGCTGTATGGTACGCATCGCACGAGTTGCACCACAGTGCTTGGACGTCCCGTTTTTACACCACAGATTGCACCACGTATTTGTGCACATCCGCAGTGCAGTGACTGACTGTATATGGGGTCCGGGCTGGCAAACATAGTTCCATTTCAATTTGGACATTGCGCTGGCATTTCCATTGCGGCAGCCGCACTTACTGCATCAACCCGATATTTGGGTCAAGCCTGCGCGACGCCTGGGCAGCTATAGAAAGGAGAGGAGGATGCGAAGGAACACAACCAGAAAAAGCAGCGAGAAGCATCATAAGACAAACGAGCCGCTCATACTTCAACTTTCCAAGGTCGAGCAAAGAGCACGCGCAAAGCCCAGGGCGCTCTCAGCGCCCACCCATGTGGCGATGACGGCAACGACGGCGGCGACGACGGCGACAGCGGCGGATGCGACGACTACGGCGGCGGCGGTGGCTGCGACGACGACCACCACCACAGCCCCAGACCCCTGACGCCGTTTTTGTCCTCCTGGGCCCCGAAGGGTCTGGACCCCTTCCCCCGAGACAGGCTTCTCATCCTGAGCTGTTTTTTGACGGCCCCGGGCCTGGCAAGGGCCCTGATGGGGCTCCAGAGCATCAAGCGTTTTCCGCCGCGATCACTTGATGGCCCGAGGAGGCCCGGGACCACGTGGCCAACGACGGAGACGACGGCGGCGAGAGCTGCGGGCTCCGGCGGGCGGTGGCTCACCAGCCTCTCGGGCGTCGCGCAGTGGGGTGGCGAGAATGGAGGGGGGGGCAGCGAGGGCTGCAGAAAAGGGGCCCTCGAGGGCCCCGAAGGGGGCCCTCTAGGGCCCCACAGGGGGTTCTCAGGGCCCCAGCAGTGCACCTGCTCCACCCCCACCCACCCCCGGGGTACAGTCGGACCGAGGTATAATATCGAGGTCGGTCCGGGTGAGATGCCCGAATGTTTTTCGTGGTTCTTGGATGTTCTTGAGCATCCTGTGGAGGGTACCCTTGGATGTTCTGTGTGTTTTGGCGAGCGGAGGGTCTCATGTTCTTGAGGGATGTTCTTCTGTCCTGGGTCCGACTGCATCGCCCTCCCACTAAGCGACGCCCAAACCTCGCGCCCGACAACTGTGGCCGCCAGGGCCTGCTCCTTCGGCGACGCTGCCGGTCTGACCGGCCCCGAGCCCGACGGGTTCCCGAACGGTGGCCTCACGATGCCCGCCTGGGGGACCGCGGCGGGCGGCGGGCAGCGGGTGGCGGGGTAGGGGGGCTCGGTGGTTGAGAGATGGGGTCCTGAGGGATAGGGGCCTACCCATGCCGCTACCCTTCCGTCGTTTTCCCCGTCTTCGTCTTCCTGGGAGGCCCTCGTCGCCACCGCTGGATTCGCTTCGAAGTCCTGGTCAGAACGCACCCCGGAAAGGTCCGGGGAGTAGTTGTATCGGCATTTGTTGGTTTTCCAACAGGGGTATCTGGGGCAACGATAGGGGGGGATAGGCATAGGGGGGAACGCATCGACCCCCATTCGCTCATTGATCGCCGGTAGGGGTCCGATGGCCCCACCCCGCCCAGGAACGTGCGGAGTCACAATCGGGGGCCCATCGCCGATCTATCGGCGACGTATCGCCGATTCCAGTCAGATGGGTCCCCCACTATGCCGGTCCCCCGTGTCGCTGTCCCTCTGGACAGGAAGGGTGGATCCAAGATCTGGGGCGCCTCGTCCTCAGGGCCCCAGCCCAAAGGACCCCCTCTCTGAACCGCCGAGGAGCGGGGGGCGGCAGGGTCTCAGCGGCGAAGAGCGGTATAAGATAGCCTTTCCTGCGATCGGGGAGGCCCGTCCCAGGGCGGCTGGGAAGTTCAAACCCCCGCCTGCCACCGCAGGGGTACACAAGCTTTCCAGCCGGCCTGGGACAGGCGTCCCTGCTCACGGAGGCGTGTATTCTATACCGCCCTCCTCCTCCTCCTCCTCCTCCTCCTGCTCCTCCTCCTCCTCCTCCTCCTCCTCCTCCTCTCCCTCCTCCTCTCCCTCCTCCTCCTCCCTCCTCCTCACTCCTCCCCTCGTCCCTCTCCCCTCCTCCTCCTCCTCCTCCTCCTCCTCCTCCTCCTCCTCCTCCTCCTCCTCCTCCTCCTCCGTAAGGGTCAGAGGCGGCGCTGGGCGGCGAGAGGTCCGCGGCAGCGGCGAGCTGGACGGCGGCGAGCGGCGGCGAGGCGGCGAGTGGCAGCCTGTCCGCAGGGGGAGGTCGGTGAGCGATGACCAGCGAGCGATCGGCAGCGAGTTATCAGTGGCAGTGGCGAGCGAGGCGGCGCAGGGCTCCGAAGGGAGGCGGTCGAGGCAGAGGGGGGCGGCAGGGCCCACCTCGATCTGATCGGCCTGGTTCGAGATCGATTCCGGCCGGCGCAATCCGATTCGGTCCCGATGCTCAGACGATTCGATGCATCGCGCTATTGTGCATCCTGACGGATCGGGTCGGGCGAAGGGGGAGCAAGTCGAAAGAGGAGGATGCGATTATTGCCGCGTGCAGGTTGTTTCGGCCCCGCCGCCAGGTCTTCTCTTCTCTACGTGTCCGCCTCTTTTCTTTGGCGCCGGGAGGCGCCTGGGAAACCAGCTGCATGCAGCTTACTCGCTACCCCTCCTTTGCTACGCTTTCCTGTCGGCCGCCCAGGTCACGTTGGAACCGGCCGCTTCCGCTCAGCCCCCGTTCCAGCCCTCTTTGGAGGGGGGCTTGAGGGGAGGGCATTTGGCCAGCCTTCTCTGCTTGTGTCTCCATGGCCCTGTCTGCACTGTTGGCTCGTGTGCTCTGGCGGTGCTGTCGGCGCGCGCACGAAGATCCCGAGTGGTTCTAGCATCGGAGACGCCCACGGCGAACCACCGCCGCCCCCTGCCTTTTGGAGACGCCCATGTGGCCGAACATTGGGCCGAAGTCTTGCCAAGCTATTGGTTTACGCTTTCCCCCAGCCGTTGTGGAAACCCTTGGGGGAACACGTGTGGGAGGAGGAGAGCAGGAAGAGGAGGAGACGGAGGGAGGAAAAGCAGGAGGAGGAGGAGGAGGAGGAGGAGAAAAAGGAGGTCTCTTAGGTTCTCTTGGGGCCTCTTTGGGGCCTCCGAGGGCCTCTTGGTGCCTCTTGGGGGCCTCTGGGGGTCTCTTGGTTCAGGAGGCCATATTTGGGGACCCCTTCAGGCCGTCGTGGGGCCATCTTTGGGTGATGTTGGGCCGTGTTGTAGGTCTGTGGAGCCCTCGTGGGATCATCTTGGGGGCCTCGCGGCCCGTCTTGGGGCCCTCTTGGCCCGTCTAGGGGCCCTCATGAGGGCATCTGGGGCCGTCTTGAAGCTATCTTAGAGGCCCCTCGGGCCGTCTTCGGATGCCAGACGCCCGAAAAGGTGAGAATGCGACAGCTACGGAAAAGCCGAGAAAAGTAAAGGAATTTGGCCTCCTGGAGAGTCTCTTGGCGTCTTGAGCCGGTCTTGGGCCGCCTTCAGGTCATCTTGAGTCGTCATGTCAGATTTGGAGGCCGTGTTGGAAGCGTCTTAGGCCGTCTTGGAGACCATCGTGGACCGTATTGGACCAGCTTGAGCGCCATGAAGGTGGATGAAATTCCCTTGTAAGTCGGACGTACCCATCCGGATCGATCGAGGCCCCACTGGGAACCATGCAGGAAGGGTTCAAAACAGAAACATGTTGTATGCCCGTTCTTCCTCCCCCTTTCCTCCTCCCCTCCTCCCCTTCTCCTCCTCCTCTTCCTCCTCCTCCTCCTCCTCCTCCTCCTCCTCCTCCGCTTCTGCCCCTGGCGCTGATACGTTTTTATGCTAATTCGTATCGCTCCATGCTCTATTCCTGAGTGCCGCGGTGCACTGACTGACGAGAGGTTCGGCTGGTGATCGTCGTCGAAAAAAAAACCTGGCGCAATCCAGCCCCCGTCGGCCCATCCCGCCACCGCTGTGTTGGGCCTCGATGCCTCTCGGGGGGCCTCTTGGGGGCACCCTGGGGCATCCTGGGCGGGCCTCGTGGGTAGCCTCCGGAAGGCCTCCGGGCCGCGCTGGCCGCCCTGTCCTTCCTCCTGCTGGGCCGGCGGCCCCCGCTCCCGACCGCTCGCCCTCCTCGGCGGCGCGCGCGCTCGCCCCGCGTGCTCCTGCCGCGGCCCCCGTGGCCAGGGCAGTGAAAGAGAGAAAGAGAGAAAGAGAGAAAGAGCAAGCAGTAAGGAAGCAAGCTCCCACGAGACCCTTCGCCATCCTCCTTGCTTCTCCCTCTCTTCCATCTTTCCTCCCCCTTTCCCATCCTCATCCTCATCCGTCCATCCTCCCTCCTTCATCCTCCTCCCTCCTATCTCCTCCCTTTCCTCCTCCTGATCCTCCTCCTCCTCCTCCTCCTCCTCCTTCTCGGTCCCGGCATCCGTAAGCACATGTCCTACAGGGGGTAGCAGGAGTCGCACGGCCGCCAAGCGCCCTTACCTTACCCTACCCTGCCTCATCTTATGTACCTCCTCCTCCCTCCTCCTCCGCCTCCTCCTCCTCCTCCTCCTCCTCCCTCCTCACCTTACCCTGCCTTACCTTACCCTGCCTTGTCTTACCCTACCTCCTACGCCTCCCTCTGGCGGCGGAGAGCGGCAGAGGCCAGGAGCGCTGGCGACAGCTACACCTTCGGCCCGACCGCCGTCAACGCCACGGGCGGGCAGTACGAGCTGTGCTGGCGCCGCGCGCGCGGCCTTGGAGGGCCCCGGACCTCCAGCCCCGCACACGGCACCTCAGAGGAAGGAGGAAACAGGTTCTGATACCGCTGCCCTCACCTCGTTTTCCCCCTCTTCGGCATCTTGGGAGGCCCTCGTCGCCACGGCTGGATTCGCTTCGAAATCCTGGTCAGGACGCGCCCTGGGAGAGGTCCAAGGAGCAGCGGTAGCGGTACCTTTTGAGTTCCCACATTCACCACCACCATGCCCCACGCTTGGCCAGGGCCTCCTGAGCCCTGGGCGAGGTCAGGAGGCAGGTGGGTGATGCACCATTCTCGCGCCCAGGATGACTCTGGCCAGGCAGGGTGGTGGTGGTGGTGGTGGTGGTGGTGGTGGTGGTGGTGGTGGTGGTGGTGGTGGTGGTGGTGGTGGTGGTGGTGGTGTAGTGGTGCCTTCTGCGGAGCGGGAGGTCTCGAACAGCAGTCACGCTCGAGGTTCTCCTTGATTCTCGGCATCCAGGGGCCGGTTGCGGGCCTTGAGGGGCTAGAAAAGAAGCCACCAATGATCTAGTAGGGGATCGACTGCAGAATTGGTTTACTCAAAATTGATTCCCCCCATCGAACCTACGACGGATACGTGTAGACTGTTCGCAAATCGATTGGGACTTTGAAGCATGTCTTCCGTAGACTCGACGAGAAAATGTATTCAGGGTTGATGCATTTCTATCGTCGATCCCCTACTCGAAATGAGGCAACGTGAATCCCAGTGATGGGGTCGGCGGGTCTGGGGGCCCACGTTGCGAGAGCGCCGAGCCATCAAGAAGTCTGGGGCCTCGGCAAGAGGCCGTTCCACTGTCCGATGCCAGGGGGGGGCGAGGAGCAGGACGACGAAGACAACGAGGATGAGGACGCCCCCTCCCCCTTCTCAACCCTCCTCCCCCGCTTCCTCCTCCTCCTCATCCTCCTCCTTCTCCCCCTCTTCCTCTTCCTCCTCCGAGGAGGAGGAGGGAGGGAGGAAGAGGACTTGTAGGACGGCGACGGCGGTGAGGGTGAAAGAGCAGGAGGAGCAGGAGGAGTATGATGGCGACCAGAGTAAGCCCAAGATGCATCAGCCATGCGGGAATACCCCCACTCGTCATAAGTCTCCCTCTCCGACGCGCGTACGAGAATCCACTTTCACTGCGGAAAGCGCCTCCTTGAAAGCCAATCGACGCAAGGTCTTACCATTCGGGTGAGAGGCCCGTGTTTGAAACGAGCCGCCCTAGATCCGTGCATCGGTCTTCAATTAACGATGCCTGGTCGTACAGCCTCTGGAAGTCTCACGCGAGCGCCCCGATCTGGAAAGGAATCGCACTCCAGCCTTGTAGCCGCCGTACAGGTCTAGGACATCGAGCGCAAGGGTTAGGGGAGTACAGTCGGGGCCCTGAAGAAGGAACCCTTCTCGTTGGGGAGGGGCTCCGCGTTCCTTAAGTGTTTCACAGCTTGCCTCAGGCTTTCCTTATGTTTTCGACTGGAAATCGAAGGTTAACTTATGGAAAAAAAGGGGCCTCGTTCCTTATTTAGGGTTCCTTAGGTCAACGCCCCGACTGTACCAGACAGGAACGTGGCAGTTTGCAGGTGGGCCTCCCTCCATGCCTCCCTGTAGGCGCTGGGCACTCTCAGAGCGAATTGTGCGCAGCGCTGGGCGGGAGTCACAGCTTGAAGACCCGCTGCCCTGCCATCACTTGAGCTGCTGGGCAATGTTCAGGGCGAGGGCGTGCGGATCTGAGGCGGGAGCCACATATCCACTGGCTCCAGCTATCAGCCGTTGCCGGGCGTCTGCCAGCGCATCCTCGACGACGACGACGAGTTCCTGACGATGCAACGCGCGCAGCGGCAGCAGCAGCGCCCGAAGGTCCGCGGGGTTGACGGAAACGTTGACGACGAATGGGCGCGTCGCTACTGCGGGAGCCACATATTGGAGACCATCTGCCCTCCATCCGCAGAATTGATTGGAACTTTCATGGCGAATGGGCGCGCTGCGATGGCGAAAGCGAGATGTTGAAAACCACCTGCCTTCCATCCGCGTAACTTATGGAACAACAAATGTTCGCGGCGCGTAAGCGGAGGCAATAGTTTGAAAACCACCGGTGCAATTGTTGGGCATTTGAAGTTGCGGGGTCAGAAAGGGGGGAAGTCTCCGACGAACCGCCCTGCCCGCCCTGCCGACACGTCTGGTGGTCACACGGGTAGGGGATACTTGAAAGGGGCAGAAATGAGAGCGAGGATGACGGGGATAAGGGTGAGTGCGAGAAGGAGGGGGCGCAGGGAGATACGGCAACTGCTGCTTCCGCCCAGGATGCTGACCGTGCAAAGGTCTGCAGAGGTCCAGGTAAGGCGTGAGATACCTTGGCGAAGGATCCACATCTGTCCAGCTGCGAGTCCCGCAAGGCAAACGAAGCGAACCGTGGTCAAACGAACCGCGAATGGCGTCGGATGCGGCCCCTTCTCGTGGGCCCTGGGCGGCCCTGAGACCTTGGGCCCACTGAGCCAGCAGCCCAAGAAGACCCGATCCCAAAGGCCCTGGGAGGCCATGAGGCCCTGTAGCCCAGTGAGGCAGCGGTCCAAGGAGATCTGAACGCCCCTAGGCCCTGCAACCCTGGAGCCCACCTGGCAAGACCGTGGTTGTCGCCGCGCTGAGGTTACAACACGGGCCATTGTGCGATGCTACGCAGGCGGCCCGAAATCCCAGCATCCTCACAGTTCTGCGAGGCTGCGCGCGCCATATGCTGCGCGTTGGTCGGGAAGCGGTGCAGGGAGATGGCACGCGCGAAATTCAGGAACGCGCAACTTGTGGCAGCATGCCATCGCATGTTGTCAGAGCCCCGAATCATCAGGGGTAACTCGGGTCAGGGATAACTCGGGTTCGTTTTTCGGGAATCCCAACCCGAGTTACCCCGGACCCGAGTTACCCCGGATAACTCGGGCGTCCAGAGCCCCGAATCATCAGGGGTATTTCGGGTCAGGGCTAACTCGGGTTCCTTTTTCGTGAGTCCAAACCCGAGTTACCCCGGACCCGAGTTACCCCGGATAATTCGGGCGCCCAATGTTGAGGCCCGAGTTGCAAGTGAAAAACCATTGGTCCTCACCGTTCCGTGTTCGGGTGGCCCACCCAGGTGTTGGCCACCCAGCGCGCGCGCAATAACAATCCACTACTCCAGATTTCGTAATCAAAGGGAGGGGGTCTGGATCCTCCAAGACAAGCCATTTCAGACCTCCCCCGTGGGCGAACCCTCCAAAACATCGTCCCCAGACCCCCCAGGCCCTCCAAGATAGCCTGGAAGAGACCCCCCCGAAATGAGACCCCCCTCCCTTTATTACGAAATCTGGAGTACGGTTTCCCAATCCATCATCTCATGTTGAGGCCCAGAATGCAAGCGAAACAATTGGCGTTCACCACTCAGCTTTCGGGCGATCCCCCCCCATGGGGTGGTTCTCTTAGCGCGCGCGCGCATTAAGAAAGAAACGTCTACTGCTTCACTGTCGACCATCTCATGTCGAGGCCCAGTATAGTGGCCGTCGGCCCATCCAGCCAACGTGCTTTGGCTGCGGATCGGAATTCCTAGGGATATGCCTCTTGGGATCTTGTCGGAGCGCTCTCGGGGGGCCTCTTGGTGGCACTTTGGGGCCCTCTTGGGAGCCTCTTGGTGGCGTCTTGGAGGCCTCTTGGGGCTTCTTGGGGGTCTCCCGGGGCCTCCTGGGAGCCCATCGGGGCGGAGGGCTCGATATGTCCGTTCGGGTCCCCCATCTAAGCCCCCTCTTGGAGGGGGCATCCAGGGCCGCCTGGGAGCGTCGGGAAGCCCAAAAGGCGAGAACGCCACAAGTGCTCCAACACAGATGGAACATGCATGATTTGGGCCTCTCGGGCCGCCCTTGGGAAGCCCCTTGGAGGCGTCTCTGGGCGGCTTGGAGGCCCATTTGGCCGTCTGGGGGCCATCTTGAGTGTCTTGGAGCAAACGTTCGGCGACTCGGGGCCCTCTTGGAACGTCGTCGGGGCCTCTTTGGGCCCTCTTGGCCCCTCTTGGGGCCCTCTTGGACCCTCTTGGTGCACGCGCCAAGTCCAAGGATATTTGCGAATTCGGAGTCCGGGCCAAGTATGCATCCAGAGGATCGAGGACTGAGGCTCAGGGGATGAGGCAAAGGACCTGAGGACACGCCCACTCCGCGCCTAGCGGTACAGTGGCGGATACGAGTGAAACAATTGTTTTTCACCATTCAGCTTTCGAAGTTGAATTGGCCATGTTCTGCTTCGTTCATTTCCGCAGTAAGAGCCGCGTAGTGCTTCAGCATGCGTCAGCTCAGGCTGAGGCCCAGAGTACATGCGAAACAATTGGCTTTCACGGTTCATTAATCGAAGTTATATTGGCCATAGTATATTTGATTTCGCATGGCGCCGCGCGTGCGTGCGCGGGCGGGTAAGATAATCTAGTGTGATGCGCATGGCGCCGCGCGCGCGCGCTGTTCCTCCCATTCGCCCCGCTCGTCGCACGTGGGTAGGCTAGTTTTTTGGCCTACCGTTTGCCTGGCACGCTTTAAGTTATTGCGGGTCCAACCGCGAGCGGTGAACATCGACAGTTGCAGATGCACAGTTGCACAAACGAAAGTAGAGCACGCACTGTGATGTTACATTGGCTTCATAGCGTACACGTGGCGCGTGGTAAATGTGATCTTATTACGCGTTAGATGACCAGCGTCATGTCGCACGCTTTCAAGAAACAATGGATGGTTAGGCTTAGTTAGGTGTATGATTGCATTACGCAGGAATTGAGCTGTCACTAGGTTATCCATGACCATGTATAACCAAAGCTGACTTGATAATCGAATGGCCTTCGGCCCATCCCGCTATTGTCCCTGGGTTGTGGGTATGAAGCCTCTTAGATGTTCGTTGGGATCCTGTGGGGTGCCTCTTGGAGGCAGTTTGGACGCCTCTTGGGTGTTTTCTGTTGCGTCTTGGGGCATATTCGGTGCCTCTTGGGGGCCTCTTCGGGCCTCTTGGGGGCCTCGCGGGGCCTCCTTTGCCTCTTGAGGCTTCCTGGGGGCCTCTTGGGGCGGAAGGCTCAGGTTTTCAGTTCGTGCTCCCTTTTTTGGGCCCCTTCTGGTGCCTCTTTGGGAGTCTTGGAGGCTTCTTGGGCCGTCTGGAAGCCATCTTGAGCGTCTTGGAGCGATCGTTCGGCGACTCGGGGCCCTCTTGGACCGTCT